TTTATAACATGAACTAGTGATCACCACAATAAGAACAAGACATGTAAACCAAAATAATCCCCTAAACTAGCTCTTACATTTAGGATAAGAGAAGTACATATAGTTTTTTGTACCTTAAACCAGAGGGCTTCGTATTGCATTTGCATGACAGGTCCATGAATTTGACGAGGCATGTGATGGAGAAGAAAGGATGCCATGTGCAGTACATTATTTCCGTTGATGTCCACAGCCTCTACGAGTGAATGCCAAAGAGGGTGATTCATCAATGACTTAAAAACATGGGTTTGTCTTTTTCGGACAGCCAAAAGGATTATGTTTCTTTTATTTGGCTCAGTTTTGTCATAAATAGCCACTGCATAAACTTCAAGGATTCTCTTCACCTCTTCTGTCACTCCATTCTTTGTTGCCACTAACAACGCTGTCCATTTTCTGTCCTTCTCTAAGGCCGCTCCTGCCAATCAAATACAAATGGTTCATGTATATTCTTAATCAATAGGATAAGTTCAATAATTGCCTTTTATCATTGGTTTATAAAATTATATTTTACCTTGCTGGTTCTGTTCCCCAAGACTCTCATCTTGGCTGTAATCATACTCACAAGTTCGTTGCAGGAGTTCCTCCATGATCTGCCCACTCCATACATGTTTCTCTTTCATTCTCCTTATTAAACCTTTAATTTCCAGATGTGAACCCAAAAGAAATTAGAGTCGTTAATACAGTATTAGTCAGCCAAGTGATTGTATTAACCATTCATTTGATTCCTTCAAAAAATAAAGCATCGACCTTGACTATGGTGGCCTATTGTTGGATCATCATCAGCTTTCAACCAGACAGAATTTCCAACCTCCAGAACGTGGCCCTCCACGTTAGCCTCAATTCTCAGCTTTTCTACACGAATGTCTTTACATAAAGAAAGCCTTCACTTCAGTTCTTTTCATTAAAAACACAAGTGGAAATAAAAATGAACAACACAAAATCACGAGCTAGAGAATTAATTTACGAATGTTGAGAAACTTAGTTAAATTAATTATTTACGTCTTTAAAATATCTTTAGTATGCATTAGAATAATGAAAAAAATTTTACATGTGCAATTATCATTAGGATTATTTTAGCAAAAAAATAATAATAATATAAATTAGGATCTTATATTTAGGATCAAATTGAATTTTTAACTGGCTTTTATATTTAGGACCGAAGGTACATAACATAATATACATATATTGTGATTGAGAGCAAATGATACTCACAACGGTAACGAAGTTTGTCCCACAAGGACATGGGAGTACCGCTTTCGAAAGCAGAAGGAATGGAGGCAAGGACATGAAGAGGCGTAACTCCAGCATTATTCCTAACACTGGCAATATTCTGGTCTTGATACAGATGAATGATCTCAAGTGCAAGATCTGTCCCAGATCATGCATGAATCATTAATGTATATGCCTAGTTTTGTTCTCTGTAATTAAGCTGAAATAATGGGATTATTAGACTTAAAACTCACATACCAAAGTAATGTCTTTGAATTGTGCAGTGAAGTATAGTGTCTCCATTAGCTCTTTTCCACGATGGACGCCGTAATAATTCTGTGCTGGTGTTCTGCATCTTCCTGCAAACTGAATGAAGATAGAGAAAGGTACGTTTACGGCCATTGAGAGCGGCCAAGAACAGAGGCGTCTCACCTAGCTTGTTAGGTTTACTAGCCAAGGTTTCATGGACCTGCAATATTCGCTTACATATAGAGGGACAGCCTCGTGTGGCAGCATAATGCAGAGGAGTATCTTGTTGGTCATTCGTAGCTTCCAAGTTTTTGATGGCAACTTGGAGGCTGTTAACGTGGGTGTGTTCAATCTCATGAACGAGGTTTACAACCCTGTCTTCTGGTGCTCCCAGACTGATCGCCACGTGCAGTGCAGTGTCTTCCGATTTGGTGATCTTCATATCCTGAATCTGTGGATGACTTCTGTATAACTCTGCAACTTCATCCCATTTTTGTGCCAACACTGCTTTGCACAGCTCTTGCCTCCTTTCCTCCATTTCTGGATTTCTCTTCTCTTATGTCTAGCCACACACATATATATATATATATATATATGTGTGTGTGTGTGTGTGAGCATGTGGGTGCTCGTGCTTCGAGGTTTCCTTTCATATTACTATATATAGACGTGATTCATTTCTTCTTTGATTTGAGCTTTCAAATGACTTTTCCTTTTGGAAGGGGAAACAAGGTTTGCATTTATACTTTGCTTCGTTGTCACTATCCTTTTGCCCCGTAGGTGACAATTACATAACAATAATATGGTTGGTCTTAATTCCTTTATAATTAATTAAATATAATACTCATCTGATTCTTAACATAGGACCCAATTGTTGAGTTGGTTTTGGTCCTAAATATAAGACCCATTTCTCATATTTATCAATTTGCTCTAAATTATCCCTATAGATACTCCCTCAACCATCATAATCAAGTAAAAGAAAGATATGAGGTATTAAGAAAGATGATTATGGTGTTTTAGGAAAAATGTCACATTTTTTATCATTAACTAACTTACCTAATTTTTTTAATCTAATCAAATTAATTAAATAGATCTTATATTAAGAATCGGAGGGGTATAACATACATAGTTCAAGTGGGAATTTTAATTTTACACAAGAAAACGACAAGCAACAAACAACAATAACGTATACTACTTGTTATTCTAATTATAAAATCTTATTTATAGATTATAAACGATATCTTATAATTACGATAGGAGATAATATTAAATTAGTAAAAAGAAAATTTAAATAACTAAAAATTATACTACTTTGTCTTCTATTTTTTTTCCAAAATATCCTTGTTTATTGTAAGGGTTCTCACTGAGGAATAGTTCCAAGTGTCCAATGTAAATAATTGAAGAGGATAATTTAGGGACATTAACATGTATTTGTGACAAACATCAACTTAACTAATTTTTTTAAACTTTTTTTAAATTAGTTAACTACACCTTATAATATTTCAATATCTCAGAATAGGAACCCAAATTTGATTACGGTAAGAAACTTTCTTATTTTGATAAGGAAATTATATTTATAATTAAGTCCAAGTAAAAATTAACTAAAGATAAAACAGTTGCAATTTGTTTGTCTTATTACATCAAATCCGCAAAATCTCACTAAAGAAAAAAAATCCAAAAAAAATATTGTTAAATTTCAAAATGACAAATCAGGAATTACTAACAAAATGTGTTGTTATTTGCTTTTTGAAAGCAGTCATTTTCTTTACAAATATAGTAACTAATATTGATTTGAAATTTTAAAATTTAACAGTTTTTTTGGATCTTCTCAAAAAAAGAAAAGGCTACCTTGACATTTATCAGGCAGGCAGAGCATATGCTATTATCAAAATACTACATTCGGTCTTAATTATAAGATCTAGTTTATAATCTACAAATAAGGTCTTATAATTAGGGTCGGAGATAGTATTAATTAATCTTGATTTGAGATCTCACCTAATTTTTTTTCTTTTTACGAAAAATAAGCATCGCTTTATTCCCCTATATTTTATTCTCATGTCTCATATCTTTTTTTAGTTTTGTTTTTGGCCAACCTCATATCACTATTTTCTAACTCCTTTTCTTTTATCAGAGTGTTTTAACTCTTGAGTTTTATCTAGATTTATGGAGCAGAAAACCAGATACCATCCATGGCATTCGGACCAAAAAAGGAAATCTGCTTGCGGTGGAGGGGCAACTCAGTAATTGCACATTTGCTTTCCATGGCCCCTAGAGAAAGCCAGCTCCGCGGAGCCGCTGAAAAAAACAAACAAGACGCTGCTTTTCTCCCTTTCTCCATTGCCCATCGTTTCATACTCTCTTTCCTTGAAAGCTTTAGGGTTAATATCTTGTAAATTCTTCTCTGTTTCGGGCTCTTTCTTCATTGTTTGTTACAAACTCCCATCTTTGTAGACATTATTATGTAAATACACTAGTTCAGTTCCTCCTCCTTTACTATAAATTCCAATCGGATTTTGATTTTGAATCTTTGAATTCCCTCAGTTTCCTCTCTGTGCAGACAGACAAGTTGGATACTTTTCTTCTGGTTGTGTCACTTTTCTGAAACTCGGTATCGGTGAATAGTAACTAGGTCGGTGAAAAAGGGAAAACTGATTGGGGTATCTGAAAATCATTGGGCTGTCTAGAAATTGCTTCCTGGTTTCTGAAAGAGCTTGTAAATAATTAGGTTATTCTGCAGAATTGGTTGGGGTTATTCGAGTATATCTGAAAAAAATTTCTTATTCCTTGAGCTGGGAATCTCTAATCCAACTGTAGAAGAAGCAGACGCTGCAAGTTATCGAGCATGGCGGTTTCGACTATAGCTTTATACGGCAGCGCTCCAAGCAGTGTTTGTTCGACACCGCACTCCTGCCAGATCAATGGGCATGCGTCTGACATAGAATTGGGGTCTCGATCTTCTTCGTCGTCTTCGAATACGGCATCCACGTCTCAGAAGTCATTAATGGGTGGCCTTTCCTGGTTCTTCTCTTCACCGACGGTTAAGCATGCCCCGTTATCGAGCTTATCTGGCGGAGGAGAAGAACTGGGCACTTTGAGGCACGACCGAGTGGAAATTGAGCAGCTCCTTTTCATATTCTCCGAGTAAGTTTGCTGGTTCTTCTTGGAAAAGAGACCCGAGTCCAGTTTCGGTCTTCCAAGGGCCAATTTCTTGTAGAAGTAGCGATATCATCGGGAATATGAGTTACCAGACCTCAATTCGAGGTGGGACATCTAAAATGTTCGATGGGTTTGTGAGAAATGCAGTAGGAACCTGCTTAGATCATGATTCGCCAAGTGTTGAGCTTTCTCGTGGTGGCTTAGATTTGGCTTCATCTACGTTAGAGGATGAATTGACCTTCAATTTTGAAGATGTTTTTGTGGGGGATAGATCTGAGCCATACGCTAAAGAGTTGCTACGGGATGCCCAATTGAGGCACAAAATCTTTTGTGAAGACGTCGTAATTAAGGCTTTTTATGAAGCCGAGCAAGCCCATAGAGGGGAGGTAAATGGGAATTTTGATACTTCAAAGATACTATGTTTCATGGTCTTAATGATGTGAGTTTAACTGTTTGAATCCTTTTCTGTAGATGCGTGGTGATCCATATTTGCACCATTGTGTGGAAACAGCAGTTCTTCTTGCTTTGATTGGTGCCGATCCAGAGTTGTTGCTGCAGGGCTTCTGCACGACACCCTTGATGATTCCTTTGTGACATACGATTATTTATTGAGGACGTTTAGTACTGGAGTTGCCGATTTAGTTTAAGGGTGAGGAAAATGTCTACTGATTCTTATCCATAACATTAGATGTACTGCAATTATGCATTTTTAATCCGTATGTTCTAAATTAGCACTTAGATTAACCTCTCCTTTGTACTCGATGTCAAGTTTATTGCAGTATTAATACTTCTATGCATTTATGGATTGTGTAGGTTGATAGGTAGAATTTGGTCAAATTTAATATAGATGGGCCTTAATGAAGATTGAGCTAGGCTTTTCCCCCCTAGGTTGGTTCAGTTGGTATAGATTCCTTTATTTAAACGACATAAGGTGTCCAAAGTAGCTAGGATTCAGCTTAATTGGAGTACACGGCAGGATTCAAGCGCTTACTTACTGATTCTATATGGTTGTAGTAGCAATAGAACCTTCTATATGTTTAGGGATGAATTTCTTTTTCTTTCTTTCTAGCACATAGGGATTTTTATAATGCTTTTGTTATCTAATGTGCTGACTTTATTTGAATTGTGATTTTGCGGCTTGAAATTTGGAATTTATACCCCAAAATGTCTTAGTTAGAACTTTTGGATTTGTGATGGTTTTACCCTTTGAAGATCCTCACTAATCTTTATGGCATTTCATCAGGTTTCTAATTTGAGCCACTTAAGCAAGCTTGCACGGGATAATGATACTGCTAGCAAATCAGCTGAGGCAGACCGGCTGCATGCTGTGTTCCTTGCCATGGCTGATGCAAGAGCTGTCCTTATTAAATTGGCAGATCGGTTGCATAATATGATGACACTAGACGCATTGCCATTAGAAAAGCAACAAAGGTTTGCAAAAGAGACCTTGGAGATTTTTGCACCTTTGGCTAATCGCTTGGGAATATCCAGTTGGAAGGAACAGTTAGGAAATTTGTGTTTTAAGTACCTCAACCCAGACCAGTACAAGGAGCTGTCATCAAAGCTGGTGGAGTCAATTGATGATGTATTGAAGACAAACAACATGGAGATAATGGAGACAAACAAGGAGAAAAAGCCAACAAGAAGCTTCAAGGGCAAAGCTCGACGATAATGCCTGTACTGATCACTTCGTGAGGAGTAAATGGCAAGGAAGGCAGCCAAAGGAGTGATGGAGAAGCAAAAGGAAACAAGTGCAGTTATAGCAAACAATTGAAATGCGGTGTTGGTAGATCCTACAATTGGTTTGCCCTTTTGGCTGTCATAACTAGGGGTAGAAATAGGTCAGACGGCCTGTGACCTGGCCTGGCTTGGTCTGGCCTATTTAACTATCAGAGCAGGCTCAAGCTTGTAAAAGAGCCAGTTTACCTTATCAGGCCTGAGCCTGTTAGGCCTGTTAGGCGGCCTGAGCCTGTTATTATTTTTTTTTGAGGTTAAAATTGTAAATTCACATGTGTTAGAAATTTAACCTAAGTCACTACTCCCATTTCTTATTTGGCTCTGCAATTCCCTTCTTCCCTTCCTGCCTTCTCTAGTTGGTGCTCGGCAAACAGCAAACGACAAAACTCAGAAGGTAGTCAGCGGCAGCACTCACAGCGGCACATTTAGGTACCCATTAGCTAGTCGCACATGCTTTCCTTCTTCCCTTCTTCTTCCATTTTGTTCTTCGCTTGATTGCATCTGCAATAGGTGGATTCAAGTTGACGCTCTGCTACCTCTGCATTTTTTATCCGTCATATATATATATATATATATATATATCTAGTCAAGCTCTACCTATTGATTCTTTCATTTCTGGATTGAGAATACTGAATGTTGTAGTCTGAT